GTCTTTTTTTAGCCTTCAAACACTTTGAAAATAACACAAAACAACTAAACAAGACTGCAGTTTACGTCTGTAGCATACAAAAATATCTGTTTCAATGTAATATCTTAAGGTCTCCCTTAATCTCTCAAAACCCTATGAATAAAGCATTGGATTACCAAGTAATACTGTTCATCACATGGAATTAGGCACTTTAGCTTTAGGCTCCATCTAAATCGTTGCATTAGGAGAGATGTTACTGACGTCATGTTTTCCAAGTTGCAGTTGACTCACGTGGTGCCTTCCCTTGCCCTTTAAGATCTTGCTGAGATAAAATGTGTCTCTCATGACTCTCTTAATTCTCTCTTTTTGGGTGGCTTTGAGGCACTAGCACGCATATGGTTTTGTAGCTGAGAGACAGGAGTAGGAAGCTTAGTTCCTGTTCATGTGCGTGCCAGTGAGTCTGTAACAGAGCTTTGGCAAATTGTGTGATTTCCTTCATCTATAAGATTATTAAATTAGAATAATATATTACTTGCAAGAAGAGTGTTTTTAATTAGGGCCTTGATGTGCCCATGTCTGTCTGCAATGTGCAAAAATTTAAAGGACATCTAGCTCATGATTCCCTCCTCCCTTTTCTCCAACTCTCATGTTTTAAAACTTGCTGTGGTACCAGAGTTTTTGTACTTCTGTATCATTACTTGTGAGAATTCTGTTAGAATTCATAAAATAAAATGGATGGAATGCATCTCTGTACCCAAATCCCTATTGCCTCCCCACTTCAGGTGGGTAGCAAATAAGGAATGCAGCTGGCACCTGGTCAAAAACTGTCCAGCAATTCCCGATTTTCAAAGGTACTATCCCTGTTTAAGGCAGAGGAAGTGTAGGAGTCACCACTGGGGCCTTGAACCCTTGTTCAGTCCTTAGTGTTTACAAAGAATTACATTCTTGCTAAATGTTGTTAAAACAGACCTCAGTCTGAACCAATTTGCTTTCTGATACTTGCTGTGTAATCTTATCCCGTGAAAGGATTTCTGATTGCATTCATTTTTCTTCCTTTTTTACTAATACACGATAGTATGTTGTATCTACAGTAAGCATGAATTCCTTAGATTTAGTATGTCCCCTTGATCTGGATAATTGCTTTTGTGAAGCCATTTTAGTTGAGCATTTTGTGGTTTGTTGGACAGCTGTTTATCTTGTAAATTATTGATGCTGCAGTCCATAACAGAACCGGCATGAGTTACGTTTGATTGGGTTTTTTTTACTTCATCATATCATTGAGCAGGTGTTGACTAGTCTATTTACAAAACTGTCACTTGATGTTATGTTTCTCTAGGAGTTGTAACACCCTGTCATCATATACTTAAGAAAATTCTTATCTATGGAAGACCTAATTAGACAAATTATTATGGATCCATTGTGGTTCTGCATTTTTTCTGATGTGTTATTTTAAAATAGTAAAAGTCAAGTTGACCTTCCAGTCTGCAACACCAACTGCAGCTTTCACCAGAAAGGTCGTTAGCCTGAAAGTTGGAATATAAGGTTTGCAGTCCGTCCTCACTTCACATACCCGAAACAACAGTGTTCTGTTTACCCTTGACACTGTTATAAACAAGAACCTTTCTGGTCTGCTGAGTGATTATGTAAATAGACGGGGCTTTTATAAAGCTTTTTAAGCATCCAGTAGAACAGAATAACTTCTTTACAGTTTTTTTCTTGTCTAATGGTAATTACATAATTGGACAGGTTTCAAGTTATTTTTTTCTATCTGGTATGTAGATGCCAGAGTCTCTTTTGAGCATTCTTACTAAAGAGTCCTAAAAATCATTCAGGTAAACAAATCTGCTAGGCTTCCCTCTATTATCAATGTCCCAGAATGCCTTTGGCAATGAGTAAATGCCAAGCATTTGTTATTTGGCACTTGACTAGTCACTCATTTATTTAAACTCAAACATGTTGCATAAGATTGTGAAAGTTATGCTAAGCTAATAATTAAAAACAAAAAAAATAACCTCTCTTGACCCAGCCTTTCCAATTTCCATCTGAATAGTACCATCAGGGCAAAAATACACAGGACCCTATATCCCATTAAACGTAATTGACTGCCTGGTGTTGGCAAAACGTGCAGTTGGCAGTGAGCAATTGCAGGGGTGTTATTCTTACACTCAGAAGGCTAGGTGTCTGTTGCTGCAGTAAAACAGCTCCTTTTTCTTCTATCCTTCCCCCCCCCCCCCCCCCCTTTTATTTTTAGTCAGGTTTTGGCGATCTTTTCCTGATATCAGTACATGCATATTTATTAAGCATCACTTGCTGTCTTGAAGATTCTACGTAAGATCTTTAAGATACAGCTTTCCTTGCACACCCAGGAGACAGTAGTTAAAAGCAGTTTTCTATTGTGGTACTGCCATCCTTTTTAATGCATGCGCTTACTGACTCTTCCTTCTCTGTAGTATTTGGGAACCAAATATTTGGTTTTGTGTTTAAAGGTCTTTATAATCTTGTCCCCACCCAACCTGATTTTTCTCATTCTATTTTAGAATTTGATTCCTACCTCCAGTCAGTTTTTGTTACGAGCCCCTGTCACCATCTTACTAGATTTTTCAGGCTAACGCTTACTTGCTTGCCCCAGGGTTGCCTTTCACTTCTGGGAAGAAATATCTGCAAAACTATCTCATCTTCATCTGCTCCTTTATTAAAATTCTTCTTTGCCATGGTGCCTACCAAAAATGTATGGCTGCAAATCTGATGTTCTGTGACTACTCTTAGTCCTGCTGATCGGGAATCTAGGCTGAGGGAAGAATTTTCTTATCGTTAATAAACAAAAAATATGTGTGGTAAAAAGGGAGCTAGTTAAACCATATATTTTAATGCCTTACTTATTGCTTCTGACCTGTGCAGTATACTTTGTGTCAGCAGTCTGGTCTTGCATGTGTACCACAATTAAAAACATGCTGATAGTAGGAACATAAATGAGTTGCAAGGGCTTGGTTTGAAGAGGCAGAAATCTAAAAGGTGAGAAAAAATTGAAGAATTGCATTTTTATTCTGATTCTAAGGCGGCATTGCTTTGTAAAACTGTATTTCTCTCTTCTATGTCCCTTATCATTGTTTTATTTGCTATTAAACAGAAATAGAAATGCCCTTCCATCTCTGGGTGCCCTGCAGAATGTTTAAAATACACATAAAACTACTATTTCCTTAATTTTGGCTCCCTGAGAGCCCCAAATTTTAGTTGAACTTATGCCAATAAATACTCGTATGTAACTTTAACCTCTCCAAGATGTCAGAAATAAAGATGAGTTTTGAAGCATGGTCCAGTGTACAACCTCTCTTTTGCTTATTTGGTGAATGGTTTTTATCCAGTGCTGCTTAATATTATTTACATTCTAGGTTTGAAACTTGAAACATTATAAATGGGAATTCTGCCTTCATCAGTCATCTAGCTTTGCCCCTTTTACTGGGTAATGTCACAGTTTCAGTTTATGGAGAGTGACATTACATTCATTGGTGATACCAATCTCGAGGTTGATAAAGTTTGATTAATATGAGTTTTTTGGGTTTTTTTTTTTTTTAAATAATTTACATTTCATATTACCAAAACCTGTGTTAAAATCTCAACTTACTACAAGTTGTTAAATGACTTAAATTACTTTTAAAAAGTATGTAAGCTGTACGTATACTGCCAAGCTTTTTTAATAAGATCATTCCCCTAACAATTTGTTGTCTTTGGTTAATCATGACATTTGCTAAATACCTCAGGTCAGAATTTCCCAACTGGTAAGGCAACTTTTGAAAGACATCATCTGTCTTCAGAGGAAAGACGTGAAACTGTTTTTCTTATTTGATACATTAAATTAGTATTGTTTCCTTCAAAGCTGAAAATTGGAATTTAAAAACAATGATGTTAATTATGATTAATTTATATTTTGCTTAAGTAGTCACTATGTGTAAGAAACCTTTAACAGGAAATCATATCAGGAGTTTTTGTGGGCTGTAACTGAATGAAATTGAACTGCAGCTTGAACTAAGTAATGAGTATTAAATACCTAAATATTAAAGCAAAGTAGTTTGACTATTTTTAATAAACTGAAAATTAAACATTTGAAACCATATTCAACCAGATGAAGATTATTTTAATAGATTTAAATCAACCCATTTTGTTTTAAAGCGCAGCAAAGCAAGTAATATTTCATAGCAAACAAATGTTTTCTGCTCTTAAATACAAGGTGCCTTTGCCATTGTGCCTCCATCACATCACCTTTTTTTTTTTTTTTTTTAAAGGTTTTGGAATTCAAGCAAATTTAACTTCAGTGATAAAATACTAGATGTAATAGTCTTTTAGAGCAGCCTAGAGATAACTGCTAAACACCATTTGCAAGGTTCTGAAAACAGCTAATACAAATAAATATAAATATTGGTGTGAATGGATTATAAAATAAAAGAAACTCCAAACTGTATTTCTCAGTGTAAGGCCTAAAATTCATTGTAGAAATGTGTTTCATGACAACATCAGTCATGTGCATTAAATAGTCGATGTACTGATTTTATTGGCAGAAATACCAGTCCCTTGTTGTTGGAGTTGCCCTAGAACCATAGTCTTTAACAGACTATCAAAAATGCTAAATTAAACAAAAAAGAGAAATAATTTAGACTGTAAGGCAAAATTGGTTCAAGAAAATCTGCTTTAAACTTTTAATAACTGTTACATATGTTTTCTGTCTTTTGTTTTTACAGATTTCCTTTCTGCCTCTGGAGTGTTTCGTTATGGCAGCCTCCAGTGAACAATGACATCCTTTGACAAATATAGATGCCAAAAAGCCAGACGAAAACAGTGGCCTTGTTTCATTTTTACTGCAACACAGTGAAATGGTGCTCTTAAAGTTTTGGTATTGACTCTCACTGGAAAAAAAACAAACTCCTGACTGGACCTTTTTTCCCCAGCGCTCTCCCAGTGTTCTTATGGATGCTTGACACAGTGACATCATGTAGTAGGCCCTGAAGCGTTGTCATAATTAAGTTGCAATGGTTTTATACACTTCCCCATTTCCCAACAGCTTTCTGTCAGTTCTGCATTCTTTTTCCTGGGGCCTGATTTTCCCATGCTACTGGTTAGCAGATAGGCTTGTGGCCTCTTTTGTTCCAACCACCTATGAAAAACGTCAACGAGCAGATGATCCATGCTATTTTCATGCACTCTGCATCATTATTACCACTCCCATCTACTTGGCACTGTTGGTAGCCTCTCTTCCTTTTGCTCTGATTGGTTTCTTGTTATGGTCCCCACTCCAGTCAGCCAGAAGGCCGTACATCTACTCCAGACTAGAAGAAAAGAGCCATGCCAATGGAGCCACCCTGCTCACTGAGTGGAAGGCTGCAGGGAATGGGAAAAGCTTCTGCTTTGGCAGTGCCAATGTTTGCCTGCTGCCAGATTCTCTGGCAAGATTTAATAATGTTTTCAATACACAGGCTAGGGCTAAAGAGATTGGCCGGAGGATCCGAAATGGAGCAAGCAGACCACAGATCAAAATATACATAGATTCTCCTACCAACACATCCATCAGTGCAGCAAGTTTTAGCAGCTTGGTCTCCCCCCAGGGTGGAGATAACACTAATCGTACTGTTAATGCTGGCATCAAAAGGACAACATCAATGGAGTATAAAGGAGACAATTCTGGCTCAAACAACAGTGAGGATAGTAGAGAAGACAAAGGTGGAGCTGGAGAGCCAAATGAGGGAGAAGAAAACACTTGCATTGTCCGCATAAATGGAGAGGATAATGGCCACATGTCAGACACAGAAATGGATACCGTCAATGGCCAGGCTCATGCCAGTGGCCCAGCAGAGCCCTCACCGGAAGGTGACGCGGAGATCTCAAAAACACCTAACCACAAACAGAAGGAAGGAGATTCTGGGAGTTTAGACAGCTACTCTGCCTCACGAGAGTCCTTAGTTAAAGTTCGCGTTGGAGATGGTACAGTGGACCAAAGCACTGTCAACAACAAGCTCCTCTACAAAGCTTCAATCATGAAGAAGACTTCAGTGCGGAAAAAGAAACATACAGATGAGACCTTTGATCATGAGATCTCTGCTTTCTTCCCTGCCAACTTGGACTTTCTGTGTTTGCAGGAAGTGTTTGACAAAAGAGCTGCGGAGAAATTGAAAGAGCAGCTTCATCACTATTTTGAATACATTGTCTATGATGTTGGGGTCTACAGTTGCCACGGCTGCTGTAGCTTTAAGTTTGTGAACAGTGGTCTACTTTTTGCCAGCCGCTATCCTGTTATGGATGCTGCCTATCACTGTTACCCCAATGGAAGAGGAACGGACTCCCTGGCTTCCAAGGGAGCCTTGTTTCTCAAGGTAAGAGCCTTTTTGAAGCCATAAATATTGACTCTATATGCATGATACATTATGAAGTTACGTTATTTTCTCTCAGTCATTTCTGTTAGAGTTCAAAGAGGCAATATTCAGTTCTAGATTACCTACTATATCCTATATATAGGTTTTGTGGTCTAGATACTGTGTTATAGTGATGGATGTGCATGAAATAATGGGGGACTTTTGGAGGTAGAACTTGAGTATAATTTCAAGTGTCAAAATTTGAAGTAGTTTCATGTAATTTTAGTTTCTTTTTTACAGAAATCCCTTTAATAAAATGCACAAATTCTAAGCTTCATAACACGAATATAGTACAGTGGGCATTACTGTTAGAAACCAGCTTATGCATGTTGTGTGTTTATGTGGGAATCAAAAGTCTAAATGCCAGTAGAATAAAACTGAAAGAATTGCAATGAACTGTATGGCTATCCCTCTCTTTTGGATGCAAAAGAATTGTTAAGGAGAGATAGGAAGAAGAGTAAACCACAAAAAAAATACACCTGGGACACTGGGGAGCACAGAGGTTTTACGCTTTATTTACACAGTTTACTTAAATTAACTAATGGTAGTGAGACCGCGAAGCCTGGGATTATACTTCTGTAAATCATGAAAAGCAGAAATAAAAGTCTGTGTGCAGTGATTTGCTTTTCCAGCACTAGTGGCTGTTCATGCTTAATTCTTGGGAAAATCTGGCTGTGCTCTTCATAAACTGGAAAGCGAGCTCTTCTACTTTGTGATTAATCAAGAACCAAAACTTTGTGCAGAGATCCAAATCTGTAGACCCAAACCTAGACAGGTCTGAAAATCTCCTAGGATACTGGATTTCAGATCTTGTGATTTTGTCAGAGTTTGGAATGGGTTTCACTAACTAAAACCTGAACTTTTTTCCTAATGCTAGCAAAATACATTAGGTGCTCAAATGACACGTTCTTTCTAGCGCATATGCTCACGAGTCCTCAACAAAAGCCATTAATAGCCCTTAAGAATATGGATTGTTAGTAAGGATCGGTGGGGTTTTTTGTACCCACTGTTTGTAATTTATAAACAAAGCAAAAACTTTTGGTATTGTGGCTTGCATAAAAAAAAGCAAATACTAGAATTTGCAGTCCGATAGTAGTCCAGTATTTCACATACATTTGACATAAACAAAAGCCTATCATATCGGAATACAGGTTTCCAAAAATTGGGTCTAAGCTTTCGATACTCTATTCTTACGCGTTTATAAACAGCTAAAGTTTCTTTTTTTCATCATAAACTGCTGCATGCAAAAAATGAACGTACATGTTGTGCAGTATAAATATTGCCAGGGTCACAAAGACTACCCTTCAATATATGCATATATTAGGGATTAAGAGATTAAAAACAATCTGCTTTCAACTGCCCATTGCTGAGTCATTGATTTGCTACCCTGCTAGGCAGGCCGCAAAGTCTCCATTTCTCATGCAGAAAATTAAGCCTCTCTTCAAAATTCCACTGGGATGATGAACTTAATTATGGATTGGAGTTGTTAAATAATGTTACAGTTGAGCAGGGAATAGGGACCAATTATTGTGAAGATTGGAAGATGACTACATTCTTTTAAATGTGACAGAATTCTGGCCCAGCTAAAAGACCATTTTTCCTCATGGCTGTGTCATTCTGACATACTGTACCTTATACCTAAAATATTTTTCATTCTGAGTTAAGTCTATCCTGATATGAAATGACTTTCTGTCTGAATTGTACATTAAGTGACCATTGGTCATTTCTTTCTTTGACAAAAAAAAAAAAGTAGGAACGACCTGTTTAATTTTAGCTTTGAAACAAAGTAGATTTGAAGGTTGTTTTTCTTGATGTAGTGCTTCATCAGCAACTGAGCATGTGTGGACTCCGGAGACAAAAGCTACAGTAAGTAAAAACCTGGTTTGTTTTTGAAGTCAGTGAGAATCAATCCATTAACTTCAGAGGTCTTGAGGTCAAACACGGGATAGCAGCAAGCTAGTGAAGGGTATAGTAACTGTGGTTGGAAGGTGTCATTCTAGCCAGTACTGTGCCATTCAGAATGGACAGCTTACATCACTGCTTTTTAGATACTTCTTTTACTGCTCTTACATTATTTTGTATGTCTATAACGCAATCCAGTACTACATTAGAGTCTATCTCAGTGTGGTTTCCACGATAGTAACATAGCCTTGCAGAACAAGAGTCTCCTAATGGCTTTCCATTCAGAAGTGGCGTGGAGTTAAGTGTCTCTGTCCTATGCAAACTCTGTGTTTTTAAGTTCCTGACTCCTGTGGAAAGCACGGTGCTGAAGTAAAAAAGGCATCAACTGAGTTTTGTTTTGGAAGTATACTTACGAAGGCTGTTCCCCTTGCATAGCTTCCATCTTTGAGTAAAGGAGCAATTGCCCTCTCTGTTGTTTAAAAAAAAAAAAAAAAAAAGTTGTGAAAAACTTGCGTATTTTGAAAATATGGATAAAATCACTTAATGTTTCCACTCATTGGGAGGATGAAGCCTTTATTCAAATCTTTCTGAACCTCAGGAAAGACCCAACATCCAAATTCAGAAGAATGTTCAGAGAAAAAGAAACTGGTTCTCATTTAATGAGTACGGTTTGTCTCCTTACTGCAAATATAACTGTTCAGGAGATAAATTAAAGGTCCCGGAACTAAATGTTTGATGAAAGTTGAATTATTTTGAACAAAAAGGCAAAACTGTTTTCGGGGAGTTCTGTTACAAAACAGATCCCTACTGCCAAGGTACAAGTGTTTCACACATTTTTTTCCTGTTGGAATAGCTTCTGTTTCCGGTGAAGAGGAGATGATTTTCCATTGCCCCCTCTTCCCTGCCCTGCCTTCACCATCTAGACTGTAAAGTTCAATTGGAGATTTGGAAGGATTTGAGAGATTTGCTTAGTCATACAGAATTATTTTACCTGAGAGACTTACACAGCTCAAAGGTTATTATTAGTAGCTATAACAACAATCAGCTCTTACGTACTGCTTTTCATTCATATGTCTCAGAGTGCATAATAAAGAAAGGTCACTATCTGCTTAATAGAAACTGAAGTGCAAGAAGGTAAAGTGATTTGATTGTGGCTTAACACCTGGGGTGTCACAACCAAGGAAAGAAGTTGGAAATAAATCACAGAGGCTTTTAAAACAGTTTCACGCTACTGACTTCATGCTACCTAACAGCTATCTGGAGACCTGTGCCAAGGAATTTTGCTAGCCTTGGTCTGTTCTCTTCCTAAAGACGTCTGCCACAAAAGGTGCTGCTGCTGGCATTTTCCTGACAGAGATCACAGGCTGGTTTTTCCATCTGTACAGGCTGATGCTTTCCAGGTCAGGATGAAGGCATGAGGATGACATAGCTGTGAGTAGCTATTGTGTAAAGCTCATTTTCTGCATAACTGGAGGACTAATTTACATTCAGCACTTTGATCTCTTCAAACTCTAGCAGTGTTTCTGTCTCTGATCTGAGGGTCTCATTGGGACATACGAGGGACACAGCCACAGAAAAAATAGCATATAAGAAGGGGGAAATGTCACTTGCATCTAAGCAAGTTTCACGTCTGAAGTGTTAAACCACTGTTCCTAGTTGCTGCTCAAGACTCGGAGGAGAAGTTAGCAAATATATAAATCAGCCAATCCATTTTCCTACTTTGACAGTCTGGGCCCTTGGGAGACTCTGCCGTGACACTCTGTTCTAGCACTGCATTTCATGTTAATTTAAAATGCCTAAGAAAAGAACCCTTGAGTCTGCTTTGTAGGTTTTATAACTCCTATTGTCTCTTTCTGCTGCTCTGCTACAGATAGAGGAGGGAAGTGGGATGGACGCAGATGCCGTCCTGTGCTGGTGATTCTAACTAAAAAGCTAGCTTGTATGTATGTGTATGTAACACAGTGCAGATCGCAGTGTTCTCGGTTACTCTGCAGCTGTTGGTTTGACACATACATGATTTTAATTCACAGTGGTTTTGATGAATTTAAAGGAAGTTTTAAAATACATGTCTCTTTCAGAAATTGGATGATGATTTTGCAGTCAGATGAAGTTTAAAAGGTATCGATGAGTGCTGAGCAGAGATTGTGTAATGCATCACCTGTTTGTGATCTACTAGGAGGTTTCAAAATCTCAACATTCATCTTTAGATCGAGGGATTAGTATGTAGCCTTAGTTACACTGTCTTTCAGGGATGCTGTGTAAGTTTTAGACAGTGGTGTAATAAAACCAGAAAACATCCTTAACTTGACCTGATGAGTTACTGGAGAGCTTGTCCGTATTTTTCCAGATGTATCAATCTAATAAAAACTGTCACTTCTGCTGACAAATTTTGCCTCTCTCTTATCCTTAAATTGCAATAGCTATAACTGGAACGTAACTCTAAGCCATACGAGACACGTAAATGCATACTTGGGGTAGGGAGGGGAATGAAAGAGGTATCGTTCTCAAAATGGCTATTAACTGCAGAGAGGTTTTGGAGGGGGTTTCCTCCCACTGAGACTGGGAGATATGGAAGTATGTTGCCTAGAAGGCTGTTCTTCCTACCATTCTTAGTAGGAAATTATTCTGGTTTTTGGCATCTGCCAAGACAGAGAATTTTAGCAAAAGTAAGAATTGTTGCTTACAACACAGTATGTGAACGTAGAGCAAAGCAAAACCGCAGTCTGATGTGGGTAGTCTGAACAGCTAATAGTATTCTAACAAAATCAAAAGGCATCAAAAGGAAAAAATGTGTCTTGTGGTTTTTGCTAAATTTCTGAAAGAACTTGTATTTAATTAATATTAATTCCTAAGCTTATTAACAGATTTACTCTTCAAATTCCCTGAAAATTAATGCTGTTCTCAGGAAGTACAGTAATTGTGCAGAGAACATGTTATTATTCATTGCTTAAAGGAAACCTAGCAACCTTTGCTTTATGTGCAAAGCTAAACTTGTTTTCAAAAGAGCCGACATGGTGGCAACAGATGGTAGAAGGAGCAGGAGCTCTGACTGCAAAACT